GATTAAATAAAGAGACAAAATCTGCAATCTGGCTGTGAATGTTTTTTATGTTTCCTAGATCAGAGATACAGCGTTCAGTGTATAACAACCTCCAAAGTAAACAGAATTATCTCTATAAACCTCATGATTTTATGCTTTCAAAATAATCATATTTTTTTAAAACAATGTCATTATTTAACTTTTTTTTCATCTCAACTCTAAGACGACGTTCAGATATATAATACATGATTTCATGTTAAAATACTTTATGGTTATCAAATGAAATGTTTGTGTTCTATTATACAGGATAAGACTAAAGTAATGTTTCTGTAATTTAGTTTTGAATAACATTTGAAAGACAGTGACATCAGCCAGGTTTGGTGTTGCTAAGACTCTGACACACAGACATGAAGCACAAATCACTACTGAAAATGAACTGAGAGCAGAATCAAAGGAAGGTAAACCAGCTTTAAAGCACCTAAATGGACTATAATTCAAAAATTGTTTTGAGAATAAATCATTTTAAATCTTGCTCTGATCTTGCTTCCTACAATCAGTATTTTAAATATAGTGGTAGAATGAGGGTTAAACACACTCAGAGTCTGTAAGTGGACTGAACTTCTCAGATTCACTGAACGCTTCAGAAAAGTCTTTACCGCTTATAACAAGTTGCCTGTCACAGTAAACATAATGTTGTATTTAGAATGTTTTCTGTTTAATAAGATTATCGTTAATCTTTTGTAACATTAATCTTCAAGCAGACTGTTTCTGTGACAAGGAAATAGCGACTGATCACGATCAATTTTGCTAATTGCATTGACTTTTCATTTTTTTCTCGAGGTTTATTCATACATATGAATGCCTCAAAGAGCAATGAGGTACTGCTGAAATGAACTTACTTCATTTATCACTCCTGATACAGGTTCACCTAAGATCCTAAAGAAGTCATGTACCCAAGAAGCTTCTGCTGGTTGATATTCCCTGCTATAACTACACATAAGGTATAATTTATGGATGTCCATCAGGGATTTTTCTAGAAAAAAATTGTATGAGGGAGCACACCGTGTCAAGGGAGCGAAGCGACTGAGGGGGGGGATGATGCGGAAGGTGGGGTGTTGGCCCCCTTCCGCGGTGCGAAGCCTTTGAAAAAATTGAAGATTAAATGGGACATTCTGAGGCTCTCTGAGGGAGAATTTTTAGCTCATGAAACTTCAGAAATCAAGACATTATCAACTGTTGAGCAATTGTTGTTTTATTAGAATTGTAATACAACTGTACTCTGTAAATGAAAACATGACAAATACTAGTATTGGCATAACTTCTATTTACTAGTACTTGGAATGTTCTTACATGCCCGTACTGCACCATGATACACATACACATCCTACTATGGCAGCATGTAAGAACATGGCCCAACTGTTACTCGCCCTTAGAGGTCTTGGCCTGTTTTGGCTGTTTTTGCATACTTTTAGTTTTGTCTTTATACCACATAAAAACATGTTTACCATGCCCATGTTTGGTCTCTTTTTTTTTTTAGCACAACATTCTGTACGTGATCTGACCATTATTTTTTCACTTTAACCAACTATATTAACATTTTGGGCTCAAAAACACACAAAAAATACAAAATCCGATTTGAAGAAATGTATTATTTATGACAATAAAAACTACAAACATGCTTAACGAAGCATTTTGAAAGGGGGGCTGGAGCCTATCCCAGTCGACTTAGGGTGAAGGCAGGGGACACCCTGGACAGGTCACCAGTCTATCACAGGGCTACACTTAGAGACAGTCAACCATGCACACTCACATTCACACCTATGGACAATTTAGAATCACCAATTAACCTCAACATGTTTTTGGACTTGTGGGCAGAAGCCGGAGAACCCAGAGAGAACCCACGCTGCACGGGGAGAACATGCAAACTCCACGCAGAAAGATCCTGGTGCAAAATTACATTTTTAATGCCAAAATATAATTATTATTGTTATCCATGAATTTTCAAATGTACTGTTTTACAAAAAGAATGCAAAAAAATAGTAAAGCACATTATCATTTCTTGATTAATATGTCAAATTGTAGTTATTTACTTGCATACCTGAACAGAAAAATTTGTTTTAGTGGTTCAGTGTTATGCTTGATTAATTTCTGACTTCTCAGAGAAGCCCAGTGAGCCGGCTCAAATGTGGGTACAAAAAAGGGAATTCAGTTTGAAATTCCTTATTCCTCTTCAAAATGGTAAAATGTCGAAAGCTCGCTGAAAATGCAAGAGTCCACTTTATAGCATTTAATGATGCTGGATGGTCTCTGAGATAAACAGGGAAAGACATAAAGTGTTCTCACAGTGTGGTCAAGTTTGCTTTGGAGTCAATTACTGAGACTGGTACTTACATTATGCGCCCAGTAAGAGGCAGGAAACAAAAGTTAACTGAAGCAAATGTCAGACACCTCAAGATTTTAAGTATTAGAGACAGAAGGACGACCACTGCTGATCTTCAGGCAGAGATGAATGCTTCTAGATCAGTGTCTGAGAAAGTCTCCAGAATGACCATAAGCAGACGACTGATGGAGCAAGGCTTAAAGGAAAGAACAGCTGTGAAGAAGCCATTATTGATGCCTGCAAACATCCAGAAATGCCTTAGTTTTGCCAGGAAGCACAGACACTTGACTGCTGATGATTGGACAAAGGTGCTCTGGACAGACCAGTCCAAGTTTGAAGCACTGTTGTGTTTATGTCTGCAGAAAAACCAGAAGATGTTTTGATGCCAGATGCATTTTACTCACAGTGAAACACAGTAAAGATTCCATAATAGCATGGGATTCCATTTGTGGAAACAGTGTGAGCAAATTAGTGAAAATCGACGGTATCGTGAACAAGAACGTCTACCACAACATCTAAGTGCATCATAGAATCCCTTTTGGACTGAATCTGATTGGTTGTGGGTTCATGGCAAAATAAAAACAAACAAAAACAACCATTGCACATGTGTACATGTTAATGTAATTACTTCTGACATGCAAATACTGTAATTTAACCATTATTTTTTTTAATTTTTTTGCACTGTTAACATTCTTATGCACATGTCTAAAAAATGTGTATACACTGTATATACATATTGTGTTATTGCATTATTCTCTGCACCTTTACATGCTATTTGTAATTCAGGTTGGACGCTAAAGTGAATTTCACTGGTGAGTACTGTACTTTTCAATGACAATAAAGTTGAATCTAATCTAATCTAATCTAATCTAATCTAATCTAATCTAATCTAAGCTAAACTAAACTAAACTAAACTAAACTAAACTAAACTAAACTAAACTAATCTAATTTAATCTAATCTAACCTAATCCAATCTAATCTTTCAGGCCAAATACCAACAAGAGAAAGAGAAGCCAAACCTGAGGTTCACAAAGTCCCTGCAGTGAGTTTGACAGCAGACATGTGGACATCTCTTTATATGGACGCCTCCTTGACTGGAACCTGCCATTTTATAGATGGCAACTCACGTGTGAAGTCTACAATACTTTGTGTAGTGAAATTCCTGCAGGTACACACAGCTGAAAATTTGGTCTGTGTGAAATCCTCCCTCGTGGAAGAATAAAATCAAAACCATAAAAATTGCCTGTGGCAAGGAGCTGAAGCTGCGCCATGCGGTCTGCATTGCTCACACCCTGAATCTAGTTGTTAAAAAGACTCTTGAACTAACCCCAGTGCTGTCCACCACACGGACAAAGACAAGGAAGCTGGTGGACTATTTTAGAAGCAGCATAACTGCCGCTCACAATGTTACCGCTGATGCCGCTGTTGAAGTGCAGGGATACGTGGCAGGACCCAACATCAGCAGAACAGAGGATCTCCTTCAGTACTGGGAGAGGCAGAGGTGCACATATCCAAGCCTATACAGACTTGCTGTAGGATACTTATCCACCCCTGCCTTCTCAGTACCATGTGAAAGGGTTTTCTCCAAAGCCGGAGAGGTTATTTCCTAAAAGAGAAACCAACTGAGTCCAAGCACAGTGAAAAAAATATTGTTTCTTAACCTCTTTATTGAGTTTCCCTTCTGGGATAAATAAAGTATTTTTCATTTCATTCATTCATTTCATTTCATTTCAAAACAAATAAAGTCACTATCACCCCAGTATTCATAAGCACATCGCTGTCCCATCTTTTGAAAACACTTCAACAGTTTTAAAATAAAGATCTCATGTCCCATTGGATTCATTTAAACATTGATTGAAATCATGCTGGCAAGTTTTTTTTGACATTAACAGACCTCTATTACCATTACCCACACATTAATCACTAGTGATCGCCAGATGAAGCCTCATGAAGCCTTGAAGCTTTCTATGCAATTGGTTCATTTCTGGAGGCTGCTAGTGTCACTGGTAGTTCAGATATTGATATGACTGTGTATCCACATCAGACATCCATCCATCCATTATCTATACAACGCTTAATCTTCACTAGGGTCGCGGGGGGGCTGGAGTCTATCCCAGCTGACTTAAACACCCTGGACAGGTCGCCAGTCTATCACAGGGCCACACTTAGAGACAGACCACCAAGCACACTCACATTCACACCTACGGACAATTTAGAATCACCGGTTAACCTCAACATGTTTTTGGACTGTGTGGGAGGAAGCTGGAGAACCCGGAGAGAACCCACGCTGCACGGGGAGAACA